CGACGCATAATTTGAAGACTCCGATTAGTTGAAAAAAATGGAGAAGACGAGCTTCGGCAAAAACAACAACATTTGTTTTTCACGGTATGCATTCATTATTTATTTTAAATCAAAAAAATTTGGTTCACACCTTTTTTTTTAACATATTCTTTAATATGAACACAACATGTGTGGGGAGTTTGGGATCCCTTTAAACAATATTCTTTATTTCAAATAAAATATATATATATATATATATATATATATATATATATATATATATATATATATATATATATATATATATATATGCATAAAACATAGCAGTTGATTATAAAAAATAGCAAAGATTGCAAATTATATGATTCAGGAGAGCAAGATAAAGGAAGCGAATTCCAAAGAACTGATGTTCGAGGAAAAAAACTAATGGAATAAGACATTTTGAAGCACTTAGGAACAGTCACAGAAAAAGTATGAGACTTAATTGAACGATGAGTAACAGGAAAATGAATTTTAGTAGATGGCACAAGAGATGCTACCTTTTTAGAGCAATGCCCATTATAGTATTTGTAGAAAAGAGAAAGAGAAGCGACATTACAATGACGTGATAATGGTTGAAGGTTGGCAGCAAGAGCAGGTCCAACTATGTTTACAGTGCATTTTTGCACCTTGTCTAAAAGAGAAAGGGCATCATTAGAAGATACGCCTCAGATATGGCAATAGTATTCCATACAAGGCCAGATTTGAGATTTATAGAGATAAAGAATAGAATCCTGAGTAAAAAAGTGTCAAGCTTGATGAAGAGATGCAACTTTAGCAGATGCTAATTTTACAAAGGATTTGATATATGGTTTCCAAGAAAGATAGGAAGTAAGAGTTAATACTAGAAGATGAAGGGTAGATGATTCATCAAGTACATTACCATTCATAAATATAGGAAGGTCTAAATTATTGCGATAATGATTGGCTGAAAAAAATTGAGTTTTATATGAATTAAAACTCACTGTGGGTCAAAATTTATACTGGGGCTCATATGCTGAGCCACTGTGAGCCCCATGCTGGGGCTCACAGTGGCTGAAGTGAGATTCTTTTCAAGCTCAGATGCCCCCTCCAAGCAATCAAAGAGTGTTACCTTCTTATAATGACAAGAATAAATGGTAGTATCATCAGCAAACAATGCCACCATAGATGTGATAATATCTGGAAGATCGTTAATGTAAATTAAAAAAAGTATAGGGCCAAGGATTGAACCTTGAGGAACCCCTGAGTTTACAGAAAAAGAAAAGTGCTGTCCATCAAGGGCTATTTTTAGACTATGATTGAAAAGGAAGGATTCAATAATCTTAAAGATGTTTCCAGATACACTGTAAGAAGAAAGCTTATGGAGAAGGCCAGCATGCCAAACTTTATTAAATGCTTTAGAAATGTCAAGACTGATGGCCTTAACCTATCCACCTTTATCTAATGCATGATAAAACCTATCGGTTATTACTGTTAGCAAATCAGCCGTAGAACAAGAAGATCGAAATCCATATTGATGATCAAAAAGTTACTAGATTCGAGATGAGAGATTAAGTATATGTTAATTAAAGATTTAAAAGTCTTGCGTATGATAGGAAAAAGACTAATGGGACGGTAGTTAGATGAATCAGATTGTTCTCCAGAATTTATAAAAAATAGGGATAACAGATGCTGCTTTCAAGCAGGCTGGAAAACAAGACTCTGATAAGCACTTGTTGAATAGTTTTGAAAGTATAGACAACAGCTCTAGAGAACACTTCTGCAAGACTATAAAATGTATGTTGTCCGGGCCACAAGCTGTAGTAGAGTCTATGCAGGAAATCATTTTAGATACAGAAGCAGGAGTGATACGAATGTCAAGCAGTGGATCAACCTGTTTGACAGCTATATCAGGTAGAACGCAACTAGTAGATGATACTGATGAAAAGTTCTTAGCAAATATTCAGCTTTGTCTTTAGATGAAGTGACAAAGTCTGAACCATTCAAAAGAGGCAGAATTACAGACTCGCCCTTATTTTTGATACTATTTAAAAACCTCCAGAAGTCACGAGAACCTAATTTTACGAGATTTCATGACCTGAGAATAGTGGGCTTTAGCATTACACAAAACCTTTTTACAATGGTTTCTAGCAATAATAAACAGACGTTTGTTTTCTGGAGAATTGTTTTGCTGATAGACATGGAAGTAATGGTTTCGATTGGCAATTGCAGTAGCACAATGTGAGAAAAACCATGGAGAAGAGTGAGGCTTGACACGGAATTGTCGAGAAAGAATAAAGGATTCCATGCCAACCTGAATCCACAAAGTTTTGTAAGAAGTACATTTGTCAACAGGAAGACAAAAGTTTTCTACCCAAGGGCCATCACAAAGAAAACCACGGAAAAAGTCTCAGTCAGCTTTAAGGTAGTTGTAAGATGTACGATGATAGGGGGAATCTGATGATACAGAAGAATGAGATAATAGTTTTAGAGAGACCAAACCATGATTGGAGGCACCTAAGGGTGAGTGTGGAGAAACTGAGCACTGACTAGGATCAGAAACAAGATATAAGTCGAGTAGAAAAGGTAAATGATTCGGGTTATCTGTAAAGTGATTGGAAAGTTGACTATTTGAGTTAGGGATTGAGAAAGGCAAAAGTTGTGGGCCTTAATGCCTGCAGAGTCACTGACACTAGAGCCAAGCCATTCAGTGTGATGAACATTGAAGTCACCGACAACAACCATATTGGCGATGGATAAAGATAGAGGGCTCGGTCAATATGATCAGAAATAACATCAAGAACAGTGCAGTCTTTAGATAAAGGAGAGCGATATAGAACAAAGAGAAAGGCGATAGAGTGAAGTGGTGCTAAACGAAAGCACATAAAAGAGTAGCCTGTGGATTCAAACCTAGTATCCCAACAAATGGCTGTATACTTACAAATGTAAATGGAGTCTTTACGAATTAAAGGAAGATAACATCAACACTAAGACCACAAGATGAGACAGCTGAACTCAAATTAATCTCACAAAGAGCAAGTAGGACTAGTGAACTTTGCAAGAGATAAGGGTCAACAGAAGAGAAGTTACTTCAGAGACCACAAATATTAGTGAATGATAGGTTTAGCAAACTTGGTGATGACGGTGGTTTTTTGTGTTTTATTGTTTTTGTTACTTTATTCATTTTTAAATTTGTTAAAGAACTTGACTCAAAGCATAGATAGTACTCAATACACTGCTTAAGAAGCTTTGGCAATGCACACCAAAAGTACAAACAGGGACACCATCCATGCGCAACATGGCGCTGGTCAACAGGTAGAATCTGTTTATCTCTTAAGTCTTGGCCTAGAAGGCCTTTATTAGCAGGATAACCTGACCTGATGTTTATTGAATTTTATTTAGGAATGCGGAGTCTTTTATCTAAGTGTAATAAATTTTTAGGGATGCGGATAATTTTTATCTAAGTGTAATAAATTTTTTTCAGATTTGTAATGACTATTGTCTAACTGGAATCGCCCCTTCCTCAAGTGCAATAATTGCTACAAGATATCTGCAAGATTTAATTGAAGTAGGATTTCTTGCTTCTGAATCCTAATCTTGTTTGTAGTTCTTTAAAGTTAACTAGAGCAAGAAAATCAGCCATGATGATTATAAACTCTAATTTAAAAAATTCAAATACAGATAATATTTGCATTTACTTTTATGGAAAAAAAGATTCAACAAGAACAATGATAAACAAATAAAATGTTACATCCTATTATTATCAAAGAGCAACACATTACCGTGACTATAAAATTTTGTGGTTGATATATTATTTATTTTACCTTAAATGCACCTATTCGTTAATGAAGGTGTTTATTTGTTGCAACAACAATATAACCATGTTTAGTGCCTAAAAAACTGTTAGGTCACTGGGTTATATACATACTTTATTCAAACAAGTTATTTTTGCAGCACCTAATAAGAAGAATTGATGGAACCATATCATATAATAATGGATTTTTTTGGTTTTGTGGAAAAAATTTTCACTGGCGTCAATAAAATAGAGTATAATCTTAAATTCAAAGCTCTCCAAGAAGGAGAGGGCTTTCTTGACATTCCTTAAACAATAATGAATAATATGTCAATAGGCAAAATAGAGTAAAATCCTCAATTCAAAGCTCTCCAAGAAGGAGAGAATTTTCTTGACATTTCATAAACAACAATGAATAAATATGTCAATAGACAAAATGAGAGGCTCCCTTAGTCATGCCAGATGGCTCACTACAGACTTAAAAAATGTTGAAAATTTTATTTTAAAATAGTAGTATTATCAAATGTTATTTGTGTATATTAGGGGATTAACCACCTGTTTTTGGTGAAATCATGTCAATAAAATTACTTCTTTTTCATAAATTTTGAATTTTAAAAACAGAATAAGTATAATTTTTTGTAAACTCTTTGATCATTAAATTGCTAAAACCATATTAAAAATTAAAAGCCCTTTCTCTACCCTCCTTCCTCCTCATTACTCTCTAAAAAAAGTGTGGTTAGGATCCATACAAAATAATAACTTTAAAACAAGAATCATAACCACTTACAATAGTTTAAAAACATTATTGGCATTTAATATTGTATAACATTTAAAATAAAGGACATGAAAATATATTTGTTTGTTAATCTAATCTAAAAGGGAAAACTTGGGTATCATAACTTCATTCCATCAAATTTTCTTTTAGGTTACAGCCTTTAAAATTTAATTTAAACACAAGAATACACCTTTTCCTAAGCTTTTGGAAGGTTAAAAATTTCTTGCTGTACCCTAATGTATATTATAAATACTATAAATGCTATAAATACTAATTGTAATTTAAATTATCGTGTTAATATTATTAATAAAAAATAACCTAATCTAGTATATTTAATATAATAGTTAATAAAATTTTATTTTATTTTATTCTTAACTTGAAAATTAAAAAGGAGAATGTTTTATGAGAAAAATTAATGAAAAAGTTGTATTGAGAAAAAAAAAAAAAACTTACTAAAGTATCTCAAAGTGGCTAAGGCCTGTTCACTTGTTAAATCAAGCAAAACATCTTCATCTTGAACTTGTTCATCAAATATCCATTCTGAGTATTCTTTATCATTCAAATCAAATTCCAACTTACTTGACCGATCAACAGGTTCCAACACTTCTTTTTCTTCCATGAAATCACATTCTCCATCAATAGTAAAATTATCTCCAGAATCATAAGTTGTTATGGAATCATCATCATTTTTAAAATTCATATAATTTGTAGAGCCATATATACTTGCATAAATCTCATCATTTTTTAGGTCGCCAAAAGTCTTTGGATATGTTGAAGCTGTAACGTTAAATAAAGCTTCTTCCATAGAATGTAAGACAACAGGTGATCTAACTCATCTTATCTTCATTAAAAAATGTATAAATGAATATATATATATATATATATATATATATATATATATATATATATATATATATATATATATATTCATATATATATATATATATATATATATATATATATATATATATATATTCATATATATATATATATATATATATATATATATATATATATATATATATATATATATATATATATACATATATATATATATATATATATATATATATATATATATATATATATATATATATATATATATATATATATATATATATATATAAATTGATCTCAATAAAAAAAAGGCAGCACATAACTATTTTTTAAATATATTTTGATATAATAATATATTAATATTATTATTGATATAAATAATTATTAATATGTTAATATATTATTATATCAAAATATATTTAAAAAATAGTTATAGGCTGCCTTTTTTATTGAGATCAATTTATATATATAAAGGTTATAATATATATATATATATATATATATATATATATATATATATATATATATATATATATATATATATATATATATATACATATATATATATATATATATACATATATATATATATATATATATATATATATATATATATATATATATATATATATATATATATATATATATATATATATACATATATATATATATATATATATATATATATATATATATATATATATATATATATATATATATATATATATATGTATATATATATATATTAAATATAATATATATATATATATATATATATATATATATATATTAAATATAATATATATACATATTTATATATATATATATATATATATGTATATATATATATTAAATATAATATATATATATATATTAAATATAATATATATACATATATATATATATATATATATATATATATATATATATATATATATATATATATATATATATATATATATATATATATATATATATATATATATATATATATATATATATATATATATCAACTACCAAATATTTTATATTTTAGATGATTTACCTTAATTATAAATTTTACGTCTATGTCGATAAAATAACTTTCTAAGAAAAAACACAAAAGGAAAAATAATAGTTCAACACATTTTCCGTTATAAAAAGTTAACATATTTTAAATAACAAAAGATTAGGAGTAAATCCGTTTTAAATAATTTTAATCTGAGCCGATACGACTTCAGTCACCCCTAAAGGAAGGGTTTTAACAAAATTTAATTTTATTGGGTCACGATTGCCGTACGGTACGGCAATCGTGACCTATTTGATTAGCGGCAGCCTAAAATATTCTTAAACTTTTATATATAAATAAGTAATATTTCAAAAAAGAGGCATACAGAGGGAAGACTAACCATCTCTCTTTGGCCTTATTTATTGCGTAAATGCATATTTACGTAATAAATAAGGGCAAAGAGAGACGGTTTTGTATATAAATTATATTTATATACAAAATTATTTCTATAAATAAAAAAGATTTTTATATTTGTTTTTAAGTATATAATAAAGATTTTGCTAAACTTAAATGGTAGCGCTCTAGCGCTATAGTTTTTTTTTTTTGGTTTTCGACCTCTCCAAACAAAATATTGTAAGTTGCATTATTTTGTTTGTAGAGGGGACTTTTGCAACTCCGGAACCTAATGGAGAGTTTGCATGCAGTGGAGGTGCAGACGCCAAATTACGCTACCAATTGGCTTACTTACCAAAACATCTAAGCATTTAACTAAAAAGTTCACGTCTCTTTTTTTACTAATGTCGTTTATCTGGCCAGAACTTATTGTTTGTGAGCCGGTACTCTAATCCGTTTACTTTGGCTGCTTTTTAATATATTCATCTACTCCCATCTACTCATCTATTATTATACCAAAAACATAGTGTAAAAATTAAACAATTTTTTTTATATAAGGAATAACAAAAAAAAAGAAATCGCGCTATAAAGTGATTTTTAAGAATTATTTATTAATTCTCCAATAGAAATTCTATCCGATTTAATTGAAAAACTATTAAATAAAAGTTCTACATGATTTTTTACTTTTAATTTAAAATGTAAATTAAACTACTCTAAGTTATTATTAAATCATCTTATATTTATTAACTTTTAAAAAAGCTTATATTTAAGAACTTTTTAGTGAAAAATGTTGGTTAAATAATAATAAATCTTTTAAAACATAATACATACACACACGCATGTATATATGTATTAATTTTAAACAAGCTTTAAACAAGAAGTTAATTTTAAACAAGCTCATTTTTCTCATAGGTAGTCGTATAGTTATATCATATATATACTAATTTATTTAGGGTCAAAATAGTTCAAGATATATTTTTTGTACACATATGTGTACATTGGGGATTTGATATAACAAAAATATTAATGCAAATCCCTAAGTACCACACAGCCAACAGCAAAAAACAATAAATAAGTTTTTTTCATAAGTAAACACAGCGTTGTGACTATATAGTACCCCCATTCCCCAGCAAAAACCTCCATGGAGCACCTTTCCAGTTCAGGTCCCTCATGTTTTCCAGACAAAGCTGAGGGGCAAAGCTTGGGTTTGCCCCCCAGATACACGATTGAGTAAATAGAAGTTTTTAATGACTGAAGACAAATTAAAAAGTCTTATTTTAAAACTGTTTTGCATGAATTTAGCGTGTTATAATCATACGTGCACAAAATAATGTATTATGCCTTATCTTCTTTATATGCTAAAAAGAATTAAGCATGGCGTAAGTTCCATATGTGAACAAAATTGTACAAAGTATTTTAATTAAATTTCTTAACAGCATAAAGTTATATTACAAATTAATATTTTACAAAGGTTAAAATTAGGTTTTCTTATGTTTTGTAAAGATTCTGCAATCTTTACAAAACATTAGAAAACCTAATTTTAACCTTTGTAAAATAGTTTCCATTCAGTCATTATAGCATGTGTATATTTTTTGTTACACGAAATTTTGGAAAAGTATATGATACTTTGCCTAAAACTTTTCTTTTTTGTCACTCCTTATCTTAATGCTGTGTTTAAAACAGGAAAATTTCCCGTCGCACAATAACCTCATTTTTTATAAAGTATGATTTCTATTATGCCTATCTATACTCAGCCAATTTTAGCTTAAAAAATATTCACGAATTTATGAGTGCATTCATAGTTTTAAAAATATCCATTTATGTGCGCACCAGGCCTTAAAGCGTTAAAGAATGAGGGGTTATCCAGCAACAGAGATTAAGGGAATTAAACGTTTTTGAATTTTTTGTAAATTTGATGCAGAAAGCTCAAGAACTTTCTATGGCAATTACGTAGTTTCTTTTTATTAATAATTTTTAATTTAATTGTAATTATGTACCGTATAAAGCGGTTTTTGTAATGTTGATTTTTGTGGGTAGCTATTTGACATAAATTGATGTAAAACTTTTGCAAAGATGAATTGAATTCAGGTTAATAAATAAATTTTTGGAAAAAAGTCTTTTTATGGCAAATAGCCGGGTTCTAGGAAAAAATCCAAAAATTTTTTTGGAAAGAATCAAGTCAATATATAGTCACAACGCTGTGTTTACTTACAAAAAAAACTTATTTATTGTTTTTTGCTGTTGGCTGTGTGGTACTTAGGGATTTGCATTAATATTTTTGTAAGTTCAAGATCAATTCAATGTAAGTTGAAATTAATTAACAATACTGCACCTTCTAACATCATGTGCAATCATTTCCGCTTTCTCTATGGTATCTTTCTTTCTCGACTACTCTCTTTCACTCTGACATAACTTCGTTCTTCCCCAACTCACCTTATTCTCGGCCCGTAGAGCGGCTCCTTTAGGAGCTGAATTTATTTTGCGGGCCTTGGTAAAGTGGCCTCTATATGGCAATTAGCCGGAGGAGGATAAACCGCATTACCAATTTTCGGAAAGAAAAGAAGTTTTGTTTTGAGCGAAAAAATTACATTTTTTGTCTTGGAAAAATTAATGATGTTCTAAAAAAATGATCCACAATGATCCAACATTCACAGAAAAATTAAATTCGAAACGCAAATTTTTTTTTTACTCCGTCGGTATTTTCAAAAATAATCAGTTTTACACTAGACTAACTGAACTTAGTTAACTAACTTTCAAAATAACTTTACATCTTTATATATATATATATATATATATATATATATATATATATATATATATATATATATATATATATATATATATATATATATATATATTAATCAACTTAAAAAAAAAAATAACTTAATCAACTTAAAAAAATATATATATATATATATATATATGTAAATATATATATATATATATATATATATATATATATATATATATATATATATATATATATATATATATATATTCTTGATGTTATTTCTGATCATATTGACCAAACCCTCTCTCTTTATCCATCAGCCAATATTGTTGTTGTCGGTGACTTTAATGCTCATCACACTGAATAGCTTGACTTTAGTGTCAGTGACTCTGCAGGCATTAAAGCCCACAACTTTTGCCTTCCTCAATCCCTAACTCAAATAGTCAACTTTCCATCTTGCTTTCCAGACAACCCGAATTATTTACCTTCTCTACTCGACTTATGTCTTATTTCTGATCCTAGTCAGTGCTCAGTTTCTCCACATTAACCTATAGGTGCTTGATCATGGTTTGATCTCTCTAAAACTATTATCTCATTCTTCTTTATCATCAAAATCCCCCTATCATCGTACATCTTACAACTACCTTAAAGCTGACTGAGACTCTTTCCGTGATTTTTTTCGTGATGGTCCTTAGGTAGAAATCCTTCGTCTTCCTGTTGAGAAATGTGCTTCTTACATACCTTCGTGGATTCAGGCTGGCATGAAATTCTTTATTCCCTCTCGACGATTCCAAGTCAAGACTCACTCTTCTCCATGGTTTTCCTCACATTGTGCTACTGCAATTGCCAATCGAAACCATTACTTCCATATCTATCAGCAAAACAATTCTCCAGAAAACAAACGTCTGTTTATTAATGCTTGGAACCATTGTAAAAAGGTTTTGTCTAAAGTCAAAGCCCGCTATTCTCAGATCATAAAATCTCGTATTTTATCACAAAAATTAGGCTCTCGTAACTTCTGGAGAATTTTAAATAGTATTAATAATAAGGGCGAGTCTGTAATTTTGCCTCTTTTGAATGGTTCAGACTTGGTCACCTCATCTAAAGACAAAGCTGAATATTTGCTAAGAACTTTTCATCAGTATCATCTACTAGTTGCGTTCTACCTGATATAGCTGTCAAACCGGTTGATCCACTGCTTGACATTCGTATCACTCCTGCTTCTGTATCTAAAGTGAATTCCTGCATAGACTCTACTACAGCTTGTAACCCGGACAACATACCTGTTATTGTCTTGCAGAAGTGTTCTCCAGAGCTGTTGTTTATACTTTCAAAACTATTCAACAAGTGCTTATCAGAGTCTTGTTTTCCAGCCTGCTTGAAAGCAGCATCTGTTATCCCTATTTTTTAAAAATTCTGGAGAACAATTTGATTCATCTTACTACCGTCTTATTAGTCGTTTTTCTGTCATACGCAAGACTTTTAAATTTTTAAATAACATATACTTAATCTTGAATCTTGAATCTAGTAACTTTTTGATCATCAATATGGATTTCGATCTTCTTGTTCTACGGCTGATTTGCTAACAGTAATAACCGATAGGTTTTATCAAGCATTAGATAAAGGTGGAGAGGTTAAGGCCATCAGTCTTGACATTTCTAAAGCATTTAATAAAGTTTGGCATGCTGGCCTTCTCCATAAGCTTTCTTCTTATAGTGTATCTGGAAACATCTTTAAGATTATTGAATCCTTCCTTTCCAATCATAGTATAAAAATAGTCCTTGATGGACAGCACTCTTCTTTTTCTGTAACCTTAGGGGTTCCTCAAGGTTCAATCCTTGGCCCTATACTCTTTTTAATTTACATTAACGATCTTCCAGATATTATCACATCTAAAGTGGCATTTTTCGCCGATGATACTACCATTTATTCTTGTCACGATAAGAAGCCAACTCCCTCTGATTGCGTGCAGGGTGCATTTAAGCTTGAAAAGGATCTCGCTTCTGCTTTAATTCAGATAAAAGTCAATTGTTTTCAGCCAATCGTTATCGCAATAATTTAGACCTTC